TGATTCAGAGTTTAAGAGCTTATGAGTCTGATGTGAAGTGGTTAGCCCTTTTCAATTCTTATTCTCTGGATAGAAACACAATGACTATTCAAGCATTCAAGATCAAGTCTTCTATGCTTGGTGATTTTACACTTGTAATAAGTAGGAAATGGAAACCCATGAAGTTCGTTTTTATTATCAGGGTAGTCAAGCTTACAGTCAGATGCTGTTGGATCTTAAAGGGACCCATTCTCTCGTTAAAGAAAAAGGAAAAAAAGGATTTGGGAAAATATTCTCAACATGTGAATACAGTTTAATACAAAGAGAATCCCTAGTATAACCCCCAGCTTTTTCTCTTATATCAAATTTACTGGTATATGTATATAATTTATGTAATGACTAGAAATACATACCGGTAATCATCTTACCTATTAACATGCACATCAATTTACAAGTGCACACCTGCTTAAATAGCATGTGTCTACAGTATACCATCAATTTATAGTTAATCACTCATTGTTGGTTGCCTTGTGGGCAGTGTATATCTATGACCTAAGGATGACTTGTTCAGGCATTATTTCTAACTATCCTAGTCCGTTGAAGAGGACTTCTAGCTGTACCTCCTTTAAAACTTTAATATGAGCGTATACTTTCTAACATAATACTTTTTGCCTGAAAAATAACAATTTTTTGGCCTGATATTTCCAAGCACTAATCATTAATCTGTGCTCTGATAAATTAATCACATGGTTAAAATGCATAATGATCTATTATTAGTTAATCATTCACGCCTAGGCAGAATGTATCCATGACCTAAGGATGACTTGCAGCTATTGTTGAAGCCGATAGGATCTTCAGGTGTACTTGATAACCATGTGAGGACTGATGCACCATACCCCTCACACGTAGGTGTCACAGGGGGCTTTCTCACTAATAGCATGTCAGAAAGTTAGCTTGACAATGACTACCATGCTCTTTAGCCTTTTTTAGGGTGTATCATAGGAATAACTCTTCTGATTAAAGCCAGAAGGTGTAGAAGTGGCTTTTTTATTTGATAGCATACCTCACACCACCACAAAGCGACTTCACATTGACTCCCAACCATGGACCTACTACAACTGATTTTCATATTTTATTTTTGGGCTAACGAAGTATGTTTGGTGGTCTGTCATTGGTCTTGTGTTGGTTTCGTTTGGGTCTTTTTTCTAATACTAGGGTATTAAATAGGAGTTATAGAACTGTTTCATTGACAATCACTTTGATGCTTCGTAGATCAAATGTTTTAAGGGTAAAGATGGGAAAATCATCTGCTAAGAGCCAGTAGAGCACAGGGTAATAGCAGTTTTTAAAGTTATAGCTTGATTCCCTCTGGTGCTCTAAAGACCACATTTTATGACAAGTTTATATTGGAAGGAAAAAAAATGTCTGCTAAGAGCCCAGAAGGGCATGATATATCCTTTTAACATAGAAATATTACCCTTCTGGCTTTCGATGACAAAATGGTTATGTTACTTGTGTCTATCAATCCTTCAAGTTACACTTCTCTTGATGAAAAGGTGCCAGGTACGAACTCTGAAATAACAAACAGCATTTCCTTGTTCTTTAGATAAACACTGAAACCTTTTAATGTTTTCATACTGCAAACATCAGTCCTTTGGTATTTTTCATTTCTACCATAAATTTGTGTTAGTTTGTGGGGAAAACGTTGGTTTTGAATGATCTTTGTTGTAAAGGGCATTTCAAGTGAATGCATCTCCCTTTGTCTGCTATTTCAATAATTTCTTTGACTGAAGACAATAAGCGGAACAGAATTTTCCAAGGTGATTTGGAGTTGGTGGAAATGGGACCGGTAGGCTGTAATTCCCTTGTCCTACTGAGTAATACAGGGATGAGCTCCTATCTCCTCTGATCTGTCTTCCCCCTCTCCGTCTCTCGCTCTTGTATCTCACCCCCTTGTCTCTCCACCGTGTCGAAAGTCATCGCAGCTGTCTGGATTAACACATTAAAAACACAGGGCTTCCACCGTCCCATAGCGGTGAAGCACATAGCTTGCCATACCTCGACACAAGTTCAACTTGGGAGCTATTCATATCTCCACCTCATGGAATCGTTTGTGACGCACCTGAGGTGAATTTTGAATTTATTTAGGTTACGTTTGGAACAATCCATGGCAGTATGTCCACCTAGAGGCATTCTGGAATCGTTTGTGAAACATCTGAGGTGAATCCCAGATTTATAGGATTTATTTTGAATCATCTGTGGCAGTTTGTCGATCCACCAAAATACTTGCTGGAGTCATTTGTGGGCCATCTGAAAGACATCAATTACATGTTATTAAGGTCACCTTGACAGTGAGGTCTGGCAGTTTGTCCTGAAAGACATTTCCGGAATCGCTTGTGAGGCGTCCAAATTGCATTACAGATTTCTTGATGTTGCTTTTACAATGCTCTGTGGCAGTTTTTCCGCAAAGGGATTATCTGGAATAGTTTTCAATTGCTTTTAGAGGATACAAAATCTGTCATCATTCTCGCTTGGACTGCTCTAGTTTCTCTAAGATTCTGCTGGTGCCCATTGACCAATGCTGGTTGTCAATTTTGAATATGAAGTCCATTGGGTACAAGTTTTAAATCTTAGCATTTGCTGTTGTATTTTACAGTGTGGTCGAGGTTTGTCTCACTTGAGTTTGCTTTATCAGGGATTCTTTTCATTATGCCCTTGTTCAAACTAGTGATATAATCAATTTCTAAAGTGGAGAAATTTCTGGGCCACAATGCTCATGAGGATCTATTTGTGGAATCATTTGGAATTGTCATAACCGAGAACAAAATATCGTTTTGCTTGTTGAAGTAAACCTGCGTACTACTGAGCTAATTTCTTTTCAAATGTTTAATTTTATTGGAGTGGTTTGGTGTTATAGTAATACCACTGTCATAGACATGCTGGTATACAGCAGAACAAGTCTGAATGGAAGTCGTTTCTGCTGAGTAATTGTTAGACTACATGTTTGTTATATTCCTCATGCATATTCTCTGTAGGGTTTGAATATTTGTACATTGTTATGAGTTTTGACAGTATTGATCACAAAAGAGGGAAGTTCCAGCGGGTAATATGTGAATTCTACAGGAAGATAAAGCATATCTTTTTCTTCATATTCTAAAGTACGAATTCAGTGACAAAACATGCAAGCCTTGAATCATTGGACCGTACGTTGAAGCTATTGCGTCACGTAAAGAAAAAAATGATTTGGATTATGTTTCTATTTTTATATTTTTCCGTGGAGGGAATTTAAAGTTAAATAATTTAAAACAAAACCCAGGAAATGCCATGCATCAGTGATATACCGATGATGCTTGATTCGCGCTACGCTAATGAATAAAGCAATCAAGTGACAATTTTACTTGTCTTGCAAAACGATATCTTCACTTGGCTTACCTAGAAGAAAGAAATGCATTGAGGCAGTTTGTGGCAGTAGAAATAGATTAATACGCCAAGAGTTCCTGATGATTGTGGTTTTATTATTGCTGTAATTTCTTCTAACAGATTTGGCTGCTAAAGCCTAGCTGCTATCTTATATTTTGTTTTTATTAAGGTGTATTTTCATCCTTCTCGTTCTTAAGTTGTTCAAGTCCCATTTTTTGTGATTCAGAAGGGCATTTCGAAAGGTTGCTTTAAGTGTTTTGAGAGTGTTCAAGGCTAAAATGTTTTCTTTTTTGTTGTTGTTGAGAGTAAAGGATATCTCAGCTTCAAGCTTTGTCAATGTTAGTATTTGAGAATGACAACATGGTTCAGTCCGAATATTTATGATAGAAGCCTTTTTGACTCTCAAGTCTCAATAGAGGAACATGATCATGTCATCTTCCATGTTTCTGAATTGTTACTTTCATCATCAATGTGCAGCAAAGGATATTCTCAGTAGCTCTCGTCCAATCTTGTTCTTAAGATGAACTAATCAATTGCTTCATCAGGATTATTCTTGCTTGAAAATTTTGGTAGTTAGATGGTAGTGTTTTCCCGAGGAGTTCCTGTTTCTGAGATTGATATTGAATCAATTGTTTCATTTTGTGCGGGAGGATCTTGATTGTTTTATTGTAGTACTTGCATATGAGTACCTTACAGTTACCTGTACAGATGGAGCTTGGGAAGTTCGTCTTTGGTCGGGTATCTCTGCTTAGCTGCTGATAGTTCAGACTCCTTATTCTTTGGGATAAGTTGTTCTTCATTATTATCCTGAGATTAATTAATCAATTGCTTCATCAAGATAAGTCATACAGGAAGGATTTTGAATGTTGGATGGTAATGCTTTGCAGAGGAGTTATTTTGTCGCAAATCAGAGGCAGAGCAAGTTCTTGGGAATTACATCTTTTGTCAGATATCGCTGCTGAAATTGTTCTAGTATCCTTTTCGATAAGCTGTCCTTCATTGTAATTTATTGGAAATTAAGTCCTGAAGTGATGCAATTCTCTAACCAATGATATACATTAGCACTCGTTTCCTTGTATGTTACAGCTGAATGATGTTTAACTGAATGATGCAGAACCTTGGAGGCCATGCAGCTGTTTAGGCCTGCAGGAAAGTATAATGATGATTCAACGGTGACAAGAGGTGTAGCTCTTCCTGCACTGACTGGTCAAGATAACATTCTCATCATTCTTTCCAAAGTCCATTCATTTTGGAGTATCTCTTTGTATTGAAAGCATGCTCTGGATTTTTCTCCATTTGCATACCCATAGGATTTGTTTAAAATTGAAGCAGTAGTTGTGACATCACTTTTGTTTGTTGCTTCAGATGAGATGCGGAGGTGAATGGCTGTTTCAGACATTGTCGAGTACATTATGGTGAGAAGACAGGCCTGCCTGGAAACAAAATGACAACTCAGTGCACTAACTATTGATGGATTATTTTTTACTATTACACTTCAGAAGCTCTTCATAAAGTTCTCAGTTGTAATTCTTCATCCCAGGACGGATCGCTGCTCCTGTAGCTTTTTGTAAGCCTGTAAAATAAAGTGACATTAGAATGCACAGATTATTGTGAAGAGTCTACAGAAGGAACTTGTCAGCCATGGCTCACAGGAAGAGCTACACATTTAGCCCTGGGCCAAAGGAGAAGCAACCATCGTTCAGTGATGAAGGAACATTCAGGTTTCATCCAGAGGAAAGTGAAGCGAGTCCTGCATTGCCTGGTGGAGGACAGATTCCAGGGAGCCCCGGAGGAGATGAGTTTGTGTTTGTACAGGGCCATGACGATGTTTTCCAAGAGCTCCAGGACTCTGGATCGAAAACGGCGACAGATGACATGACTAGATCACCCTTGAAGGAATCTACAATGCAGACAAACGGTAATAATGCCTGCAACGTGGAAAGCTATTATTTCTTTGACGACATTGTCACAAGTAAGCCTGAAAAAGCAATGAAGGACAGAAACAACTTCAAAGACATCTTTAAGAAGGTACTGAGTGATATTAGGTCAGGGAAATCACCGAAAGCTGCTCGTACCAAAGCAGTGAGGCAAGACGGCACCACGGAAGGAAATAAGTCAGATGGGGGCAAGTCAAAGATTCCTGGGAGACAGGAAAAGAGCCCATGTATCGGTCAGTTAGGTCATATTTCCGGATCAGGATCAGGTGCAATTGGGAAACAGGATATAGAAACCTGTTCACAAATGGATAATACTGAAACTGAAAGCATGCTAGAAGAGGATTGTTTGTCCAATTCTTCTGAAACACAAAGTATAGTTCGACCTGTGACACCTGGAAATATGTCTCAAGGATATTTAGAATTAAGCAATGACCACTTTGGAAATGCAGCTGACTGTTCTTGTCAAGTTAGTCCTACAAAGTTAAAAGACTCTTCTGAAAATGATGGAAGCTCAAGTGATCAATCAAAGTTTTCACTTTGTGCCAATGATAGCTCTAATAACAACCTTTGCAATAGCTCTAAGACCTTCATAGACACTGACTGGATATTTGGGACATTTCCATCTGACCAGAAGCAGTCCTATCAATCTAACAATTCTCACAATGAAGATCCTCAAGAGCCGGTTACAGGCCAAAGCGACAGAACAGCATCGACTGTTCATTCTGTTCAAGATGACATAGCCGGTGATAGTTCATGTAGTGCAATAGACGGTGCAAAAAATTGTGTTCAAGTGCCGGAGAGCAAAAGTTGTTACAGTGCAATATCAATAGAGGGTGAGGCTGACCTTAGTAAAGATACTGATGAAAACAATGAGTACTCTAATGATGATCTTGGGGACAACGTTGGAGGGAAAGAAACTGGTGCCATCTCTGACATCAAAGTTAGTTTATGTGAGGATGTTGCCGGTGAGAAAAAACCAAAGTCAGGTTGTGAGCTGGTGGTGGATCGGGTCCAATTCTCTCACGTGGTTTGGACTGTCATGCGGTTCCTGAGTGACGCAGCCCTAGAGGTAAGTAAGCACCTTGTCTAGGGGTGCGTTCAAGCGACTCTTTTTTCACCCTAGAAACAAGGTTTTCAAAGATGTTTAGTTTAAAACACGGTTGCATTCAAGCGATTTCAAGGGAATATCCGTCGGTCGTAAAAATAAATGTGTTTAAAAACGCAAACATGTAATGCTGGAAAAAATGGGTTTTGTAGAATCACGGTCGCCAAAAGTCGCTTGAACGAACTGAGATCTCAATCATGATTCTATAACGTCATTATCGTGGTCTGCTTCCGGTTTGGCCGACAGTCGACCCTAAACACAGACAGAAAGAACGCGCAAAGTTGACCTATACTTCCTGGGTCAAACTGCACAGTGTGATGAGCAGTGGGTGGGCTTGAAATGAGCGAGAATCTGCGTTGATGAAAAATCGCTTGAATGCTCTCCCGCAGTAACCATGTTTTTAACGTCGTTTAGATTTGTGATTCATGTTTGTGATTCTAGCTTCAAAAAATCGCTTGAACGCACCTAAAGTGGGTGTGTCCATGGTGGAGAGGGGTGGATGACTTTTCAATTACTAGTATAGATACCTGTATGAAACCTAGTGCAGGACTCCACACTAAGATTTCCCCTGTACCCTAACCCTTAAAGGTACTATGTCCCATTTGCAGGCCCAAAAAATGAAAATGTTAAATTCCAATGGCATTTGAAAGATAAAACTAATTTAGAACTCCCCTTAAAGTGGGAAAATAACAACTACCGGTATTAGTTGTCAAATCGACTTAGGAGATATAGAGCCAATAAGTAATAGTCTTGATTTTCAGACCATTGTACCACATGGTCATACGTTTTATGCTGCGCAAAGATTTAAACAAGAAATGGGTTATTGATGTAGACAAATGCTCATGTACCCTTTACAACTCTTTTCATGTATGTTATTACCAAAGAAGAAAAAAGCCAGTCAGTCACTCAATAGTGTCTGACAGTGAAGTCTAGCAAGTAAACGGGTTTCCTTGCATGATTTGAATATTGGGACACTGCTAAGGTTAAAATTTCACAGATAGGACAAACATGACATATTCATAATTCCTGCAAAGTTCTACAGAATTTGAGGTTGGCTGCAAAAGGGACATAGTACCTTTAAGGGTTAAGGTTAGGGTTCAGGGCTGAGGTTCAGAAATTGGTGCCGTACAACTTGGGGGTAGTAGAGTACTATTTTCTGTCTCTGTGTGTGCACTAGGCCACTTAATAGTTTATCGTTGATATTTTTAGGATCTAGAGAGAAAATAGAACTTGCTATATCTCCTCTTCATGCATATAATCCATTATAAAATTTATTAATCATTCTTCACATTTATTTAAGGGAAAAAGGCCTTCAATTTGGTATATTATTTAGGGTTAAGATGCTTGAAGTAGTTGCCATAATTAAAATATTTTTCTAATGCTTGAATAGAAGGTTTTAAACTACTCAGCTTGTTTCAATACTGTATATTGAGAACGTGTTACATACAGTATGAAATGTTTCCTAATTGTGCGGTTGTTCAAACCTACAAAAGCATCATGTGACAAAAGAATTGATTCATAACTGACACAACCCTGTATTTTTACAATCTGTGAATTTTTGTTGTTGTAATGGTTGTTTTTACAATTTGCAAAAATGTTATGTTCCATAAGTTTCTGACTCAAAGAATTATGATATCTCCTTTTTGCAAGAAAATTATTTGTCAAGAAAAATACATGTTATAATGGTAGTGCTTTAATTGAGAAGGGTAAAAACATATTTGTGGTATTAATAGTTCTGTGGAAGAATAAATGTTCTAGACTTTGAAACGGAGTAATACTCATCTTTTTTTGAGTAGAGACATTCAACAAAATTTGAAAAACTATATGGTTTCTCGCCAATAGAGGGAGATATGCAGCAATGAGATTGAATCTTGATTGAGGATCGCAGATTGATTGGAGCAATTGGGCACAGTCTGAATTTCTGAAACCTGTAAAGAAATTTCTCACTCTCTCTCTCTCCATTTCTCTCGTTCTCTATCCTTTTTTTTCTCTCTCTCCCCCTCTTCCTCTCCCTGTCTCATTCAGTCTCTCCTCTCTCCCTCCAACCTGTCCTTCTCTTTCTTTCTCTCCCCATCCAATAATTATTCCAAATTGTTACTTAATTTGTCCGACTTTATTTGTTTTACTTTGTAAAATCAAATTGAGGCTATATGTAGAGGGATGAAAATATTTACATTTTTATGAAGTATGAGAAACAGCACTTGTTGGATTTTACGACCTGACGTAGTTATTCATAGATTTAGCGTAAGTCTCCAATTAAGTTGTCCATCGTTGATGGCAAAGCAGTGGCCTACTTCTCCCAACCCTTCTTACATGTAATGCAAGGTTATGACATACTAATTATGAATTTGTCCTAATATTTATTATCACAAATTGCAAATGGGATTTTGATTTTAATAACCTAATTACCTTAGAAAGACATACCCTTCATTTACGATAATGGAATGCAGATAAGATCCTCGTTTCTTTATGCAGTGTTTTAGAGAAATCTTAGCGAAATATGGGCAACTTTTACTTTGAGTGTATCTGAATACAAGGATCATCTTATAGTGCTTTTGGGGTAATTCTAAAAATAAGATGGTTGTTATGAATTGCAAACAAGATTTGAAGAATAATAACTCCATTAATAAGAGATGATTTACATACGACTATATAGTTCAGATTTTTCAATTCAATAAAAGTTTATTCGAACATGTTTCGCAATACAAAGACTGAATTATGCATGTTGTACAAAGGTTAAAATACATTGTAAATAGAAATTGCAATTATGAATAAGAAATATTGAATTAAATACCAAATTATATAAAATACTTTGCACTGATAAAACTGTAGGTAATGTAATGCGACGGTACTTGAAGATTCTTTACAAAAAACATTGTTGCTGTTGTGAAATTCAAACAAGATGTGTTTGTTAATAACTCCATTACTAATAGATGTTTTATGTTATTTATAACTGAGTACAATCCAGTAGTAGTCGGTTTCCTTTCATACTCATCGACTTCAAAGAATTCAGTGATATAATCGACAAAAATATCTTTGAGTGTTTCTTTATTTATGACAAGATTCATGGAAAACTACATAAAGATGAATTCTAAAAATAAGATTACAATTATGAGTTGCTGGAGAGATTTAATATTTAATTACCTAGATGCTTCTGTCCACTGAAAGATGCTTCAGATGTGAACAATTATTTGAGTTTAGGTTTTCCATTCCATGAAAATCTATTATTTCAGTACAAAAAAGATAAACATAATACATGTAGGAGGTACTTGTAGGTTTATTCAAAATATGATTGTAATTAGAAAATTAAAAACAAGATTTACAATAACCCTCATATTTCTGAGAAGCTATTTCAAGTTTTTTAGAGCGATGATAATAAGACTTCGATATGTTTTAATTTCCTCTTGTTTTTCTTCATTACGTCCCTCATTTATCAGTTTAAAGACGCTGAAATAGGCATGATTATGTTTCCCCTTTTGGGATTTTCTTTCAATTGATTTCTATAATCTTCAATTCTCTTTTTAATTCTTACTCTATTTTCATCCCTCTGACCCCCCCCCCCCTCCCTGAAAAAAAATCTATGTATTTATTTCTCTCTCATCTCCCCCCCCCCTCCTTCTCTCTCTCTCTATCTCTCTCTTTCTCCCTCGTTCTGACTCTTTCACCTCTTCTTCATCTCCCTGTCTCTCTTAAACGCCCATCTCTCATTCGCTACCCCCTTCTCTACCCCTTCTCTCTCTCTCTCTCTCTCTCTCTCTCTCTCTCTCCCTCCCTCCCTCCCTCCCTCTCTCTCTCTCTCTCCCTCTCTCTCTCTCTCTCTCTCTCTCTCTCCCTCCCCTCTCCCTCCCTCCCCTCTCCCTCCCTCCCCTCTCCCTCCCTCCCCTCTCCCTCCCTCCCCTCTCCCTCCCGCTCTTTATCAATCGATTAATAACATCACCTTCTATCCAGTCTTGTGTAAACGGGCCCCAAATCAAGTGCTCTTGAGTCCTGACCTTTATCTGTATGCAAGGCTCCTCACACTTGACCAAGAATGCTTCTTTCTGGATCACTTCCTTTACCTTACAAGATCCATTAAAGGCCCACCCCAAAAAGAAGATTCACTGGGAATTAAAGCCCCACTGCACTACTTATAGCTACTTGCGCCCTCTATATAGCAAACAATGCCTAAGCGGTGCCCGTTGGTCCCCCATGAACCCTTTTTCTTATGTTAATTGAGAGCTGAGTTGATGAGATAGCCACCTGTCATTGACCACGCTGTGTAGTCTAACCCCTCCTTGCTAAACTAGTACAGCCAGCCTTTAAAAGGAGATGTTATAGTTTATAAGCTTACATACCGAATGGAGATGTTAGTGGGAAGAGCTAGTCTATGAGGTGCATGTTGATGGTTACGTGTTGGTGATGAGGATGATAGTTATGATAGTGATGATGGTGATGATGGTGATGATGGTGATGATGGTGATGATGGTGAAGATAGTGATGATGGTGATGAAGATGATGATGGTGATGATGGTGATGATGATGATGAGGATGATGATGATGATGATGATGATGATGATGATGATGACAATGACGGTGGAGATGGTGATGGTGACATTGATTGTGATAGTGGGGATGATGACAGTAATGGTAATTTGGGTGTTGTGAGGTTGGTGATTTGAATCCACCAATCATACATCAATGGATTATACATTGTGCATTTGGTATTCCAAACAAAAGTAATTCCTCATTTTTCTGTTAATAGTCAAAACTTCAGAAAGGCTTTAAGTTATTTATGCTGGCTCTCCATAGAGAGAATGAAGATTGTGATGATCAATGAACATGGATTGTATAGGAGCAGTAAATGGTATTGATTAATGTATTGTATTGCCATGGCAACCATAAAGGAGACAGGTGGTGGTGGTAATTTCTTCAAGTTGGAGAGGTAAATGTGGAGGATGATGAAATTGGGTAGCTATAAAAGTAAAAACAAGCACTGTACTGTTACCTGGTAGCAAGCCAATTTTGATAATGATGATGATGATGAAGATAATGATGGCAATAATGATGGTGATAATGACGTTGATGATAAATACGTGCTAATGAGGATAATATCAATGTTGATGAATGATTATGGGGATGATGACGATGATATGATATGATGATGATGAAGAGATGATTTATCTGTCAGGCCCTGTATGATACATGTTAAATTCAGATAAATTTATTCTCATTTAGAAATCTTACTCTATGAAAATGTTTGGTTTTAAAGGCAATGTGATGGAACCGCTGTTTTTCTGTCCCTCTGCAGAAAGCAAGACGGACATTCTCGGTTGGCGACGACCAGTTGATGCGGATACGCCAGCAGCAACCGGCCGGCGCCAAATCCACCAACTCCAACTCGAACATCTTTGCCTCGGTGAAGGAAGAAGACGAGGCGACATCTGCCCCCCCTCCTCCCTCCTCCCCCTCGTTGCCAGGGCAACCTGCAGCCAATCAGGAGAGTGCCTTTGAGGATGTATTCACGCCCAACTCGCTGACGGAAACGCAGAAGAAAGCTCGCAACATGTAAGTCATTGACTTGTTTATACATTGTATTGTGTTTATAGTACCGTGGTTTAGTAATTCATTCCCTTGACTTTCATACAAGAGGTTGAGGTTTTGAACCTTTTCATCTACAGTTGTCTCTTTTGACCCAGGTCATCTTCAGTTGTCTCTTTTGACCCAGGTCATCTACAGTTGTCTCTTTTGACCTAGGTCATCTACAGTTGTCTCTTTTGACCCAGGTCATCTTCAGTTGTCTCTTTCGACCCAGGTCATCTACAGTTGTCTCTTTTGACCCAGGTCATCTACAGTTGTCTCTTTTGACCCAGGTCATCTTCAGTTGTCTCTTTTGACCCAGGTCATCTACAGTTGTCTCTTTTGACCCAGGTCATCTTCAGTTGTCTCTTTCGACCCAGGTCATCTACAGTTGTCTCTTTTGACCCAGGTATCTTAGAGTGGACCTGCCTCATCTGCTTAGTGTTAGGGCATCAGTCTCCAAGGATTAATCCATTGACACTCTTGTGCATTGGTAACAGGTTGTTGAAGCTAAAGCCAGGGTAATATTTTTGAAAGCATTTTCAGAAGTGCTAAGGGATATTATCGTTACTGTTGTTCTATCTTTCAAAAATTAAACTGTAAATTCTCAAGCCATGTAGTAAAAAATAAATGTACTGACTGGTTCAAGAATTGCATTGAAGCTTGTGAAAGCATGAGTCCCCTCTTCGAGATTTGATATATATATATATATATACCAAATATGCTATTTTTTCCACTGTTTTTGGTTTTACACATGCAGTGAGGAAAAAATTGTTTCTTGACCATTATAGTTTCATAAAGGCACTATGAATCACGTCTCTGAGGTTTGGTCAATTTCATAGATGCCTTTTTTATGTTTCACTTTTATCCCAGAGAAAAATTCACATCCCCCTTTGTAACGGGGTCATACATGTGGGACCTAAAAAGATCATATCATTGATACGTTCATCAAATATTTATGAAAGCACACAAAGACTCAATTGCGTTATCAAATTTCATTTTCAAATGAACGCACAAAAACTTGTAAGCCATCGCAGATACCATTCTAATTGACGCAAAAGCCTATTGATTTAGGGCAAGTGCGCTTGAAATTTTGATGATTTTCTACCTGCTGTTGCCAGGCTCTCCTGGAAACGTATTGATTATTTTGTAAAGAATAGGCAGAGTATATACTCTCTCTTTTATTTTTTCCACGTAGATTGTTATCTCTTAATAAGAGAGCAGGGGAGCTATCCAGGCTTCTGCTTGTCGAAAGTCCTCCAAAATATCGCGTTACTGATTATTGTGCAGAGAAATGACATCAGTATAATTATGTAGGTTCATTTACACTGGGCTCCAAACATGATTTTACTAGCACCGCCATGTTACAATTGGAGTTTCTGAGCTAAACAAATTTCACAACAACTTTGTGATGTTAGACTTAGAAATTACATCAGTATACTTAGGTGCACTTAAAACATTGCCCTAATAATAATAAAAATAATAATGGTGGCTTCTTATATAGCGCACATGTCTGTCACATTGTGACGCTCCTGGCGCTGCCCCGAATAACATTGTGACTTGACTAACATTTGGCTGTTGGGCTTGAATAGCTGATGTTGCTAAGCAACTTTTAGCACAACATCATTATTTTTTATTGAGACATTTCATCAGTATCTGTAAGTCCTTTAACACTATGGTCTGAACATTGTGACTTAATGGACATTGTGACTTGGCAAAACATCACAGTGTTAAAGTCGCATAGGAGCATCTTGCGCACCTTCCTCCAGAATAGTTTGGACACAGAAATATCATCAGCATACGTAGGTTCATTTACACTTTCACCATAGCATTTGTGTGTTTTTTATGACAATTATCATCATTATACATACCGTATTTGCCGGCGTAAAGGCTGCACCACCGTATAGGCCGCACCCCCAACTTTGACATTTCGTAGAGGAAAAAAAAAAACTACAACAAAAAACAAAAACAAAAAAAAGAGAAAAAAAAAACGGACCAAACAAAATGATCGTAATTTTCTTGTAGAACACTCTTTTTTTTTTACAAACTATACCAAATTCATCAATATTCTTATAAATCAACAAGAAGTTAACCTCAAAAATGATCATAATTTAGCAGATCTTCATCGACTTTTAAGCTAGTACTGTATCGTACGCAGATTTGGTATCCTACAATACCCCTTCCTCGATGTGCGGTGTAATCCGAAATAGCATTTTTCGACCTGCGTAGTTGCGTTGCGCGGCAGCTAGCTCCGTAAGTAACGGCCTGTTCCTTTGTTTACTTTTTGGCGATGCAATGGTATGGACTTAGATCTAGATCTATCGGCAGATTTATTAGAAAAATAAGTTTTTTCGTCTTCATGTCAACTATGCAACATAAACTTGTCGGTAAGTTGTGTGGAGTTATTCTAGAATTGTCCTGTACCGTTGTCTAGTCATGCTACCGTTCCGATAGTCCCATACGTGCAAATGGACGTGATGTTTTGACCGCTGAATTTTGTTGTTGTTGCGTATACGCCGCACCCCGACTTTTTGATATTTTCTCACCCGAAAATACTGCGGCCTTTACGCCGGAAAATACGGTAAGCCCATTTACTTTATGGCCTACTTACCTTGCATTTCTACAATGTTCATGTAATGTTACAGTTCAAGTTGCTTAGCATATCATGCTAATAGAAATTGCTGAGTAATTTTCACTACAAACTTGTGATTTTTGGACCAAGATTTGTCAGCAGTATTCACAGATCCATTTACACTCCAATCCAAACAACACAATTCTGTCATGTTACTGTCTAACAGATGTTGCAGTTTCTCACAATATCATGATGTTTGGACTGAGAGAAGTCATCTGTATATTTACATAATTACAATAGGTCATCAGCATAGCGTACGTTCAATGTACACCATAGTCCAAACATTGTGATTTTTCTGAATATCGCAATGTTATAGTTTAAAGAGCTTAGCAGATGTTGCTAATCAAATTTCAATCTAACAAATATCATCAGCAAATGTGAGTCCATTTACACCAAGGTTTAAATATCACAATTTTACTAAGATGATGATGTAACAGTGGAAGCTGCTTAGTAAATAGCAGTTGGCAAGCAACTTTGTGTACAAAATAATTTTGCAATATTTTTTTGCAATATTTTGTTATAACCCATTTCAATCCTCAGCTCTGCCCGATGGGGTCCGGTGCTCTCCAGGGTCATTGTCCAAACATCACAATTTAACTTACATTGCAATTTTACAGTTTTACAATTTTTCAGGTTCGATCTTTAGCGATTTGCTGTTGCTAAGCAACTTCTACCACAACTTTGCGCTGTTTTGATCGTCGTGTGAATGGGCCCAGTACATGATGGTTGAGAAGAACCCTAGATGGGGTTCTCTATTTCTGCTAATGAATGACCTAAAGGGGTCTTCTTTTTCCTTCTAATCCTTATCTCTGGCCTGGTTTTTCATTTTTCAATTTCAGAATGATGTGACTTGCTATGCATAAAGGGGGAATATGTCACACAAATGCTAAAAGGCTTCTTATGATAGTTCAGTTGTTCATCAATCAATTTATAATGTAATGAATTCTTAGAATTTACTTCTGCAAACATGCGTTATATGTCACACACAACATATTTTAGCTGAAGAATTAATTTTTTTTCCTCTCAAAGGACAAAGAATTTAATTTGTTGGTAAAAATATCTATATTTTCAGTGCTTATGAAACAATGTTGTACAATTAGACATATATTCAAATTTTCTCTTTTAGAATCAAAACAACCTCGGAATAAAAAGAATCCATTACAAAATGTCATACTATACAGACAACAGATAGTACTCTTTTTAACACAGAACAATATTTGTATATATGTATATATGTTTATCTAATCTGCATGCTTAGAAACATTGTATTAAGCGCATTATAAATGTAATGTATTATTATTATTATTATTATGTATCATAATAAGTTCATACCCAATTCAAGAAAACAATATAAAAATACAACAGTTGTTTACTCAATTTATCTGTCACCTATTTCTGTATATGAGGTCACAGAAAATCCACCACCTTTTCTCCTTCAAAAATGAATAAAACTGAAAAATGTACAGTATGTTTTTGTGTGTATTCCACCAAAATAACTCCTTCTTTGGACATTTGACCTATTTGCGCAAGCCAGGTCACAATTTCTTTTCTTCTTCTCGAGCTGTAATCTGATGCCTGTATTCCAAGGAGCTTATACTTTCTATTGTATATTACTCCATTTGGCCCACCTTTCTCGATCATATTTTTTTCCTTTATATAAAACAAGATGGCTGCTGCGATGTTTTCTTTTCACCTTGGAGAATAGGGCAAGCATTGATTCTAATGGGGCAAAGAAAACATGGAGGCAAGTGTGATGGAGAGAGAGAGAGAGAGAGAGAGAGAGAGAGAGGGGAGAGAATAGTGAGAAAGTGAGAGAAAGGGAGAGGGGGAAGGAAGGAAGGAAAAAGAGAATTGTGAGAATGAGAGAGAGAGAGGGGGAGGAAAGGGAAGAGAGAATAGTGAGAAAGAGAGCGAGAGGGGGGGGGGGGGAGGAGGAGGGGGAGGGGAGGAATGAGAGGACAAGATAGAGAGAGACATTGATTCACATAGTGAGAGACGGACAGAGAGACAGGGACAGAGACATGCATTGAGGGGCAAAGCCAACATAAGAAATAAACCAAGCAAGCAAGAGATATAAAGAGAAAATGGAGGGGGGGGGGGGTAAAGTTTTTAAAGCAATAAATTATGTTCATGGCACCAAAGGAAAATCTCTAAAAGCAAGGTCTATTGTATTCCTTTTCTTTCCTCTTGATCATTCTCGCAGGAAAAATTGTGGAGAAGCCTGGAAGGGGTTTGCATACATTAACAAAATATTTAAAAAATAACACCATAGTGTGAAGGCTCTTCTTTCTTGACTTATTTGCATTTGCCCTTCTAACTTTTTACCATTTTGTCCTCATAAAGAATATAAAAGCATGAATAGAGATCTTTTTATTAACTCTTCGTCAATTGACTTCTTCTCTTGACCTTACTCTCCCTTCAAATGAAAAAGACAGAGGATCAATCTTTGGGAGCATCTGTAGACATCTTTTTGAAGAAAAAAAAGTAGGAAGAGAATACAGTTTAAAAAGAAGAGGAAAAAAAGAGTGGTCGCTCTGACTGGGATTTACGTCTTGTTTGCAGAACGTAATACGATAAACTGTCGCAGAAAGGTCACCCGTGACATTGCTGCGAATAAATCATCCCTGCGCTGACAAGAATTTGCATGTTGCGTACTAGAAATTTCCTCCAGCAGAACAGAGTTAGCTGGAGCTTCAGGAATCAAAGCAGTGAGATGATGTCTGCAGTTTTTTTCTTCAGGTTCGTTTGTTCAAGGGGCACAAAAGAAGTGCATGAATGGAGGTTTTAAGAGAAAATGGAGTTCTTGGAGTTCTTGTAAAGGTTAATGCAGTGAGATGATGTCTTTTTATTTCTTCTGGTTCATTTGTTCCGGGGGCACAAAAGAAGTGCATAATTAAGGGGTTTAAAGAAAAGGCTGAGTTCTTGTAAAGGTTGAAAAAATGATATGTGAGCTTTCTCATAATGTTTATGCTCTTGTGGACAAATATCGTAGTAGCCATATTTTTAAACATTCGTTCTTGAATTACTACTAGTTCCATAATACAACTGGTAATATTCAGAGACTTCA